ACAAAATCATAAACGTTACTCCCCAACTTTAAAACAAATCTCCAATGATAGGGGTCTTCCTCTGTTCATCATTCTACTATATAGTTGGACTACAGACAAAACTTTGGATATTTCAAGCTTGCTTGTGAAAGAACTTGTAAGTCTTGCTTTCTTAATTGAAGAATCTAAGTCATTTGTAGAATTTTTCAAATAAGTCCTAAGCAATCAATTATTTCCAATTTTTTACATCTTAATATAATTTAGAATAAGCAGGAGAATTTTGCTCATAGTCTACTGAAACAAGCGAAAGAAAATGTGTCATCAAGCTTGACTGAGATACAGAGATTTCAGAGCCATGGGCGGGGATCAGTGGTCTGAAAGGCAGTTTAAATGCACATGGCTGTGCTTAGCCACGGTGGAAAACTGAATGGCCACATTATTTCAGCAATAAAGCCACTTAAAGATCATCTATTTCCACCTCTCATTCTATTTTTAGGTGATTTTCAAGTAATATTTATACAATTGCATGCTCATTTATATTAGTAACTGTGCACGGTAGGAAATTTGAGAAGCACAGAAAAGTTTAAAAAAGAAAACATCAGGGCCTCCCCGGTGGCGCAGCGGTTGAGCGCTGGGTTGCGAAGCTGCCCACAGCCTCTGCAATGCCGGTTCGATCCCCGGCTGCTCCCCGGCCACCGGAGGAGGGTCCCACATGGCGCGCAGACCTCTCCTGCCGCCCGCTGCTCCCCTCAGCGGTGTCCTTCGGTCCTTCTGCCTGCTCTGCTCCCCGCTCTGGCTCTGGTGAATTCTCTCACCCTCCCGCGCTTCTGACTGTACCCAGTGCTTGCATAAATAAATAAATAAATAAATAAATCTTAAAAAAAAAAAAAAAAAAGAAAACATCACAGAATCTAATTACCCAGATTTTCTACAAGTATTTTCTGTATTTCTTCCTCTCTCTCTCTCTCTCCTGCTCCTACTCACCTCCACCTTTCCAAATCACGGTCGGTCCAGAAAGTGATTACATTTCCACTTCAATGAAATCTATCACTATTACCAGCATTCTATTTGCAAATTGAATAGGTTTGAATAGCACTTTGTAGTTGAAAAAACACTTCTTTTAATCACTGGCCATAATGCATTTCTCCCCCCAAATATTTAGCCATTTGAATCTTCTCTTTTCTCAATTTCTAGTTATGTGTGTTTTCTACTTGCCTATCGGGAATCTTGATATTTTTTTTTAACTGTATTTGTGACTTGTCATATGTGTTTGCATGCACTTGGCTAAAGTTGAAAATATCTTAGTTGATAGTGTATTATCCTAACACTCCTATTTTTCTGCATATGTGTTGTTTATAAAATACTTCTTTAGCAATCACCAATTTGTATTTTTTTCAAATTTTTTTTTTATTTTTTGTTGGAATCACATGTAACTTACATGTTGAGTTGAAAGGAATGAGTCTTTTGCCCTCCAGGGACATGGGTGCATCTGATGAACTGTCCAGACTTTCTTTTACACTGTTTATAGCTTAAGATAGAAAAAAGATGTTTTGCGAATAAAGTACCTAGAAAAGATATATAAACCATTTTCAATAATTTTGTAAAAACTACAAATTTTACCACTAGGTTATTAGGGGTGTATTGAATAAACTATTGATATTTGTGTATTTCTCTTGTGTGTACAGATTTTGCTGAATTTTCCTAGAGTGGAGGCTTATTTATGTAGATTTTCAAGATAAATAGCCACATCAATCACTAGTGAAGATACGATTAGTCTCTTCCTAATTGTTGTCATCTGTTTTTAGTTTCATTGCAGCATCCAGAACAACGCTGGAAGAGAATGATAGATGATTTAACTTGTTGACTTAATAATGGCAATGGCTTTTGGTATGAGATTGTTTCTTTACCTCCCGTCTTCATTTTTAGATGTTTACAAGCCCATAAAATACAAAAGATGATTGAACTTTATGAACTATCTGTTTTTAACCAAAAATCAAGGCAACTGCAAGGTTTTTCTTATTTGAGCTAATAATGTATTTCAGTGTGAAATTCTTACTATTGAAGCATCCAAGCATTTGTTTTTCTTTTTAGTGGTGTAGGGTAAGGAAAAAGTATCAGGCTTTCCTGCCCTCCCGCCATTAGGATAGATGAGGGAGCCCTGTGGTCCTGAAGGCATGTCTGATGGTGGGCACCTGATGTGGGTACGCCTGGGCTGAGAGACTGAGTTTATAAGGGCGGCGTCACGGGGACGCCAGCAGAAGCCAAGAACGAACGGAAGCAGGAGAGCAGAGAAGCAGAGAGAATATGAGAGAAGGCTGGAGAGCCCAGGTGGAGTGAAGACTTGCTGGGGGCGGGGAGGCCTGCCAGCCTCCTGGCCCCCCAGCACCCCTGCCTGCCATATGCCAGGTAAATCTAAATAAAAAGCCTGCAAAAGCCACTGAGGATTCTGATTCCTCCTTTACCCAGTCTGCTGGATCAGAAAACCTGCTCCGTGACCTTCCTGTCCTGCCCCTACAAGTGGGTTTTAAATTTGCTAGTATTTCAATTAGGGCTTTTACATGTACATATAGAAATACATGCGATTGCTCACTAATTTCTGCTTTGTTCACTATCAAACTTGGGTTATGAGGAGTAGGGTTGATTCATAAGATAAATTGCTTAGATTACCTTTTTCCCTAGGTGTTGAAAAGGCATATAAATACCTTGAATGACTTAATATGGTGAAGGTTGAAATAATTCACCAAGTGCCTGGAATCATATTTGGAAGTGGTCTTTTCCCCGTATATCCTTTGTTTATAGATATAATCATACTTTCTATTTCTTTTTAGTTGTTTGGCTATTTTATGTTCCTGCACCATGACTTCCTTTCCTTGAAACAGAAAATCAAATCATTAACATGAAATTATACAAGTATTCTATATTTATTTTAACTTATCTTTATTGTTTTTGATTCCCCCGTCACTTGGCATTTCTATTTAACTTATTTCCTAAGAACCAAACTTTGTATTAAAATATGCTAATTTCCCCCCTGCAATCGTTTATAAATTCTTTTCTATTCACAAATTAATTGCATCTGGTAAACATATTTTTAATATCTTTCTTAACTAAATTGTATTACTATATTTCTTTTTAATATAGGATAGCATTCTAAAGATTCAGATGTTTCTTTGGTGGCTTTTTTAGTTTTATTTTGAAGTTTTTCTTTTTTTTGTCTGTCACTGTCTTTGAAACATTGGTTTAAGGTTGAAGAATTTCTTGAATTACATGAAAAAATCAATTTATATTAAAGTTTTACAATAAGGTAATCTGAAATATAATTGATTTAATATCTGTAGTATATATCCATTGATTGTCTTAATAATAGATTAAATGTATATGGTTAACACAGTGTGACTGAGATAGTCTAGGAAAATTTGTGAGCCAGCAAGAGGCAAACTGTCCAAGCATCTTGTTTAAATAACTAAATTGGATCTCAGGCTAAATTGCCCCGGCATCCTGTTTAAACAGGTGGGCTAAATCACAGACTAGCAGTTCTGCCTTTTACCCTATTCAAACAGTTTGGCCTACCAGACTGACCATAGGTTCCATGCTAGACAAACCCAATAAATCCTGATTAATAGAGTGCTGTCTGGTTCACTCGAAACCCTAGTGAATTCTTTCTCCTAGAGGGTCTCCAGACTCCCACCATTTTGGTAGGTCTGTGACATGATGAGTCTCACGCACACATTTAATATGTTTCATATTGAGTGTTGTTTTATTATTAATCTTGTCTCCTAGGTTTTCTTGCTGTTTCCCTCATACCTTGCTATCTTTTAAATTATTTGCTTTAATTGTTTACTTTTACTTTTCTTGTTTGCATCCTTCAGTTTTAAGTCCCAAGTAAAAGTAATGCAGAAAAAGTTTAATAAGTTAAATATGAAATACACAGGTCTTTGTACTTCAATATAAGATTTTTTAAGTCACCTGTAAATGAATACATTGGGTTAATTCTGTTTTTGGCTTTTCTATCTTATCTAGTACAGATAGTGAAAGGGTAAATGAAATAAAGGCATGTGTCTTGGCGTGTTATATGCTCTTGATAAACAGGGGCAATAGACTCTAATTGTGGACATTAGCTCTGAAGTCCAGCATTCTGAATTAAAATGCCAAGTCTGATACCAACTAGAGAGTGTCATTGAATAGATTACTGAATCTGATCTTCAGTGACAAAATTAAGTTAATTTCTTAAAAATGGGAAAAATAATAGAACGACTTCACAGGATGGTTGTAAGAACTAACTATTAAAAAAAAAAAGAAAAAGAACACAAACATTGATAGCACCTGGCCTAGAGTTAAATAAGCATTAGTTATTTTTATTCTTTGCAGATTGAGTCTTCCTTTTTTGTTCTGTAATGACTTGGAAAACAGGTGTGCTTCCTGTTTAATTCCAGTGATGACTAGCTTTTAAGTTTTCCAAAAACATAATCTAATCTAAATATTTCTAATTATCAATGGACAATGGTATAGCCTCTTTCTCTGCCCCAGCTTAGCTAAACTAAACATACATTTAGCAAACGTTCACATTTACGATTTTGTTAATAAATCTGAATTTCATTGGTGCACAACATTATTAGCAAACTCCAGGGTTTTTTACATTTTTCCCAGTCTTGTAAGATTTTATATTCATTTACCTCATTTACACATCAAGACTTAGACATGCAGCCACTTGTTTAATTGCTTCAGCATTCACTCAGGTTTTTCTTTATGCTGTCCTGAATATTTTTGGCCCATTAATTTTGATGAAATTCTAAGTCACCTGAACTCTAATTGATAGAGAGAAAGGACGTCCTGAGCAAACTCCATACAGGCTTTGTGGACTCCACCCCCACGACACTGGGAACTACAAATCCCTTGATCCCCAAAGGGAAGGTTGCAAGGCCCTGAGGGTGGAGTTAAGCAACTAGGCTCTCATTGGGTATTTAACTGGCCATGTGGCCGGGGGTGGCTGGCTTGGCCACGAGTTGTGCTAGGCTTTTCACCAGCTCGGCGAGTCATTGGGATTCCAGGTCAGAGGAGCGGGTAGGACGCGTTTACAAATTTCTCTCCCTCTTTTTCTCCCTGAGTTATTCATTTCCCCATTTTCCCCTTCCCTTGTAAATAAATCTTTTATCAACCTTTTGTGTGTGTCTGCAGTTTAGCATCCGTAAGTCCCCTTTAAGCGCGCGGGTGAACACCCACAGTCAGGCACCCCCATTTTATATCAGGGTTTGCCTTGTAACATACTCTGCAGTATGTTTTTCAGGAAATCTCCATGAAAACAATTTTAACTTCCTTGCATGTCTGAAAAAATCTTTCCTTCCACGTGTAAGTGCCAGCCTCTGATTTCTTGTCCAGTTCTGTGGACCCATCTCCCCTTTCTTCTGGAATTTTGTTAGTTCCCCCTCCATTTTATCACCTACTCCTAATCTCTCTCTTTTCCTTTGCATTCTGTGGGGGCTTTTTCAGTTTGTCCTAGACTAGGAACTAGAAATATATATATTTTTTTCTGTAAAGACACCCACCTTTGTGTTTTAATTTTACTTTTTTTGGTTTTAGGGAGGTCTCAGACTTTATCTCAAATTTAATCTCAAGCTTTTGTATTTGGTGCTTTACCTTGAATGTTTTCAGGCAACACATTCTAGATTACTTTTTTTCCCCCCAAGGGAATCTATGATTTCTTGCATATCTTTGAGAAAAGGACAATATTTTTCTTACAGTTCTTCTTTAACTTGGGTTGAACTGTTGGAAGGGAGGTGATTCCCTGGAGACTTCAAGTCAGTGGATAGTCCCTGTTCTATGCTGTGGAAAACCATTCTTAAGCAAAAGGATTTCTTGTTTCTTGTTTGATTGAAGAGGGTGGGTCCAGGGGTCTCTGCGCACAGATGGAACCTAGAGTCTTCCTCAGACTGTTCTCTGCACACACAGAGGAGCTTACTGGAAACTACCTCAGACCTAAATCAGGCCTTGGATCTTGAAAGTGGGATTTATCCAGTAGGATTCTTCTAGGCTAGATGAACTCCTCCACCCTTGTCTTAAATACTTTGCCTGAGGGGTGAGAAACTATTCCCAAGTTCCCTGAGCAGCCCAGGATTCTTTTCTAAGCAGAAGTGTATGTGAAATATTAAAGTTTTCGGCGCAGTCTAGCACCAGCATTTCCTGTCTCTGCTTTCGCAAGCATACCCCAAAATGTAATAAATTGGAGAGCCTGAAAATATAAAAAAGCAATGGCCAGAAAGTACAGCAACCGCCCCAGGAAACCATTATGTATACGAGCTGGCCCAGGAAGCCAGCCTCTCTGTAAAGTCAGCCCGAAGCGGAATCCCACCGCTGTCTCCAGCAACCAGTCCAGGAAGTCAAACACTAACACCCTAACCATCACCTCCACCTCCCACTGACGGGGTCGCCAGAATACCCGACGCTTTGTTCATTGTCACTCCTGCTTCCACCCAGGTCACTCCAGAGAATCCCCGGCCACTCACAAAGGACGTCCCCTCCCAGTGAGCCACCTCCAGCCTCCAGGCCAACAGCCTCCCAGCAGGCAGACCTGGCCGATGTCCCCTTCTGCTGGTGAGTCGCTGCCACAGGCAAGCGGGGCGGGAGTGGGGGTGGGTGGGGCGTGGAGGCTATCCTCACAACAGGCTCTGAATCCATAGCTGTGCATGTGCTCATTTGGGTGGACTTTTTTGATTTCCACAATGCTGTTTGGTTATTAGGGATCTGAAGTTCTAGGTCTTTTAGAAATCTTCCTAAACACGCATGTTCTGGTTTGGAGGATATTGTGGGGCAGTGGCGACCTCATGGAGAACAGAACAACCTCTGAAACACTGTGCGGTAGGGTGAAGCAAGGTGGGTGGGGATGGGTGCACTTTGTTTTTTTGAAAGGTTTTCAAGCCTCTGAGTCCAGGCTGGTGCCAGGAAGCAGGCAGTGGGCATGGGGTTTGGCATCTTCCAGCCATCATCTTAGCAGCTCTGATCTGGGGCAGCACTTTGGGGGCTGGCTCATTGCCTTCCGGTCTCGCCCCCTAGAATTCCTGCTCAAACTCCACAAGTGATTTGCTATTATCCTCTGTTTCCTGGATTATTGTGCTGTTAAAATTTTCCATGTCTGTTTCAGTGGGAGAAATTTGGAATTACTGCACATAGGAATGGCTACACAAATGCTGCCTTACCCTAGAAATCAAGACCAATCCACCCAGACTGGATTCCATGCCCGTGACACCCACTACTCTAAGTTTTCATGTCCCCAGCGTTCATCAGCGTCCCTTGCAAATCACTGGAAGTGAATTTTTTTTAAAGATTTATTTATTTATGCAAGAACTGGGGTACAGGCCAGAGGCATGGGAGGGTGAGAGGATTCACCAGAGACAGAGTGGGGAGCAGAACAGGCAGAAGGACCAAAGTACACTGCTGAGGGGAGCAGGGGGCGAGACAGGAGAGGTCTGCCGTGCCATGTGGGGATCTCCCTGGCTGGCTGGGAATCGAACTCGTGCTACAGAGGCTGTGGTCAGCTTCACAGTGCTGTGCTCGACATGCTGTGCCATCGAGAGTTCCCACTGGAAGTGAATTTAAAAAAATCACTCTTCCACATAAGAGTCTTAGACAAATTACTTAAAACTTCTTAAGCTTCATTTTTTCTTCTAACAAAGAAGGTTGATAGCAGGATCAAGCCATCAGCTATGTCAGAAGCCACTTAAGTACTGTTCTAGGTATTATTCTTAATCCTCTCCGAAACCTTATGAGGTGGAGACAAATAGCACCCTAACTTTACAGGTGAGAAAACTGGATTCAGAGAGATTCTCGCTGCTAAATATCACACACTGAGTGAGTGATTGTGTTAGGATTTGAAGCCAGTTAAATCTTTGTTGGGATTCATTTTTTAAACCACAGCACAATTTTTTAAGCCATAATTTCTTCTGGTGCTAAAACTTGGCTACACCAAAATTTAAGAGGTGCTGGGGGATGAGGCCAGGCACATGCAGACACCAGGGCCTCTGCAGAATACTGGGTCCTGGCCACAAGGGTGTGCCAGGTTTCAACAGTCTCTAGGCCAGAGTGTCCATGATGGGGACACAGGTCAGCAACATGGCCAAGGGGACTGCTTCGGGGCGCTCTTCTAAATGAGGTTTCCTTGGGATATATTGAGTTTTGCAGTTTCCTTGGGAATGTTTTACTGCAAGACGGCTCTATGGTTGAAGACATTTCCTCCCACTCTGGAAGGAGTCTGCCGGGCCTGATTGGAGATTTCCTCAGATCCCAAAGAGACCATCTTGGGGATCTGGCTGAGGAAGCTGTTTGTGATTCCACAGAAGCCCTGGAATTGTGCAAACTCCTGGAGTTTGGGGATGCGGTGAAGAGGGCTTTATGAGACTGGGGTGTGTCTGGAGGCCATGGAAGTGGCATGAACAGGGACATTTCAGCTGTGGGCATTCACTGTTCCTCTCCCTGTCTGCCATTTGGTCTCCCTGTCTGTGCTCTGGGGATTCCCCATATATGAGCCTTTGTGGGGGAGAGTGAGCTTCGCATCACAGAAGAAGAACACTGGACTCTTTCTAAGCCCTGTAGTGATCCAGGACCATGAGGTTGCAGTGAGAGCAGGCCCTGGGGCAGAAGAGGCAGTGCTGGCCTCCACCAGCAGAAGCCACTGCTCCTGGTTGCTGAGCTGTATCTCTGTGGGGGCCCAATACAGCCAGCGACCTTCAGTTTAGCTCACCCCCTTCATGGGTACCCCAGACCTCGCCAGGCTTGAATCTCATGCCAGGTTAGGATTCTCTCTGCTCCCTGCCCTCCATGCCTGGTTCACTCTTTTTAGTCCTCCTTTAGGTCCTCTGTCTGAATCTTTCTGATTTTATAGCTACTCCTCCAATTTCATTTGTCAGTTTTTGCTTTCTGCCGTGAATCCATCAACGAGGCAGATTGGAATTATTTGGCCAATAGGTTTCTTTAGAATTCATACAGATAGGTATCATTTCGGATCTTTTATGCATTTTATCCACCACTTACTTTCCAAGTCCAAATTTTCCAAGCATGGAATGAGGTGAAACCCACTTATTGTCCATTTTGCAGGTTGCAGGTCGATACAGAAGGAATTTCTTAAAATTTTTTTCTATTGAGAAAAGAACTTTGACCCATGTCACTCTTTGCCCTAAAGGAGCCCTTCCTTGCTGTAGTGGATCCAGCACAGGTGGTTGTTAGCATCTGACACTGGGGGACACTCCAGTGGGCTTGGATCTGAACAGTGTAAGCCATGCTGTGTTGCTGCGTTTACTTACCCTGTCCTGCTGCTACCTGACACGTCCTCAAAGGGCCATGCTTTCTTCTTCATCCTGCGTAAATGTATGCTGGGGTTGAGCTTTTTTAGTTCATGGTAAATAGCAAGGTAAACTGTGCACACTAATATAAGTGTGCATGCATTTTCCCCCTCCTTATACCCTTATGCCCTTTGACCCCACCCCACCTGCCCCCCCTACTTAAAATTAAGAGTTTAGATATTACAACCAGAAAGACCAACAACCTCCAAGCCTCCTGCGTTTGTGTGTGTGTGTGTGTGTGCTCATGCACACACGTGCACAGCCTAGCTCTGGTTCTGTATCTAAGGCACTTAGTTTCCCATTTATGCACCCCAAAACACAGATTTTAGAATTTGTCCCTCCACCCTCCCCCTTTGTTTTTATAGTCACAAGCACGCCAGCTGGGTGTTTTTGTCCATTCTTTCACTGTCAAACTAGACACAGCCATTCTAAGGTGCACCTAAGCCGATATACTCAACAAAGAATGGACACACAGAATGTTCCAGAAGGAACACACACTCGCAGGAGGGACAGGGCAGCAGCTGTGTGCAGGGGTCATCCCTGGACAGCAGGGTTTGGGGGCCAGGACTGCCCGTTGGGTGATGGCATCCTGATTCTCCTGGGAAGACATCAGTTACCAAGGTGAAATCTCTACACCGATTTAGTCTTTTGCTCTGATTCCACCTCTTCTCTTTCTCATCTTTGACTGTTTGTCCAAGCTCCCCGAAAATGGGCAGGGAGGACATTTTGGTGAATGCAGCTCCTGGGGGTGACTTCAAGTAACTGAGTCTGCACCCATTGGAAAGGTGTCCAGTGGCTGCTTCTTGTTTCCATTCTCCTCCTCCCCTGCCCCCACCTTGTGAACTCACCAGACCAGAGCCCAGCAGAGTGGGGGAGCACCAGGTGAGAGCCCAACAGAGTGGGGGAGCACCAGGTGAGAGCCCAGCAGAATGGGGGAGCACCAGGTGAGGGGCCAAGTGTTTATGGAGCTCTGCGGGCCAAGCAAGCACTGTGCCAGGTGCTTCATTTCTATCATTCAGTTTGAACTTCGCCAGCACCCAGTGAGAAGGCATCTTTGCCTTATAGATGCAGAAAACAAAGTGCAGAGAGGTTGTGTCACTTGCTGACCATCAAATAGCACAAAAATGAAGTATTGGGAGTCAACCTCACATAGCTTTCGGTTAAATCCACTAACCATCCTATCTCTTGAAGGTTTAATCATCTCTATCTCAAGTGCTTATTAAGAGTCTCCAAGTCTCTCTTCCTTCTCAATTCCAGAGTCAGACCAATAGGAAGAGATGAAAATATATTGGGCTAGGAAGTTTCCAGAACATGCTTGACCATCTATCACTTCCTATCGGGGTGGATGTTCTCATTTGCTCCTGGGTGGTTGTGTTCACTTCATAAATCTGAAAGGTCTTTTCTGCCTTGTCCAAGATGGTCGAGTAGGTTCCTGTTACAGCTGTGACATGAGGAGATTGAAGTATTATCGGGTGAAACCACCTGCAGTTCCGCTTTAAAAATATTTCTGTTTTCAAATGGCTTCTCTGGGGGGAATGGGGTTATAAATCCCCTAAATAAATAATAATAAATGTTTTGGTCTGTGTATGTATCACAGGAGATTACTCTGGCATACTGGCATTTAGCAAATAAGAAATGTCAAAACAAATAAACTGTTTAATCCATATTGGATCATGACAAATTGATTTGGAAATCCTGTTTTCTCCTATCAGGTGCTGCTTTTGAGATGGATTGTTTCACATTTTTTATACTGGCTTTGAGGCCTTTGACTCATGTTATTGAGAATAGGAAGGCAATTTAGTGGTTCTAGGAGGTATCTGACAAAATGCTTTAAAAAAAGTTTTTATCATCCTTTTTCCTGAATTGGTATTTTATGTCACCTCTGTACACAGTCACGGGCACATCAGCTTTTTATGCTGGGAAAAAGTCTCTCTTTAAGCATCTGTGTCTGTGTCTATCATCTCCCATTTTTCATTATTTCATTCTGAACATCGATAAAGTATCAGTTTTAAAATTATGCGGAATCTCCTGACATTCGTAGCTATCATTATCTAATATGGATGAAGAGATTCTTAGCAAGCATTTGTATTTAAAACAAAGTTGTAAGAAGTCACTTCCTTCCTTAGCAAATGAAGACTTTCAAGATAATTTTTATGGACATAGTTGTAGTTATTTTCTTACATTAGTTTTCAAGAGTTGCTTTCTCACAAACTTAATAATAATAGACATCACACAAAACATACTTTTTTTAGGTCATGA